CATCATTATTTTTGCTTTCTTTTTTTTTTTTTTTTGGCACATCAAAATTATTACCCTGGATACTCTGATTTATATTGATTACCTTGAGAGAGGAACATGTTTTGTCAAGTCTCCTAACTTTCTTTTTTTCTCAGGTTCTTTTCAACTTGGCCAGCCAGTATGCAGCTAATGAAATGTATGCTGAAGCATTAAATACATATCAAGTCATAGTGAAAAATAAGATGTTCAGCAATGGAGGTAGGTTGCACACCAGAATATCAGGTATTGATGGCCAGGCATTCACCAGACAGGCAGTTTTGGGCTGGTCCTTCTAGTAAAGGGATAGTACGCATTGCTACTTGTACAAAAGCTTATGGAGGTGGCTTATGCAGTCTCGCATCAAAATTTGCACACGGAGAGTATTTAAAGGATGGTATAAATATTTTGGAAGACTGAAATAAAGCACATTTTCTTTATCCTTGCAATAGGCAGATTGAAGGTGAATATGGGAAACATTTATTTAAAACAGCGAAATTATTCAAAAGCTATCAAATTCTATCGTATGGCTCTAGATCAGATTCCAGGTGTCCATGTAGAGATGAGGTGAGTTTATACTATAAACATTTTGATGCCCAATATTTGGGTTTTTTATATAGTGCATATGATAGTTAAAAATATAACCTAACCTGTATTTCTTTAATTAGGATTAAAATAATGCATAATATTGGAGTTGCTTTTATTAAAACTGGCCAATATGCTGATGCAGTTAATTCATTTGGGCACATAATGGGCACATCCCCAAATCTGAAAGCAGGCTTCAACTTGATCCTTTGTTATTTTGCTGTTGGAGACCGTGACCAAATGAAAAGAGCCTTCCAAATGCTGATTGCTGTTCCATTGGAAATAGATTATGAAGACAAATACATTTCACCAAATGTAAGTTTAAACAAACCAACATTTACATGTAGATTTGTAAAGAAGTAAACTTTCTAATGCTAAACTAAAAAAAATCTTCTATATAGACTATGTTGTTTTATCAGCACGAGTTCTTTGGTATGGCAGTACTATTCGCAAGTGATCAAACTCTTGAAAATGCTTTTGAAGCACTTTCATCCCTTCTAATTCCCCAGGGAAATATAAGATCCAAATAAAGTCCAGATTACACATTGTGATCATGAAGGTTTTATTAGTATTCATTTGGGCTGATTTGCATAATTCGCTCATTGCTTTGTCCCTTTTATAGATATACAATTTCTATAAAATATTTGCATGTTCAAATAAAATTACAAGAGGGACAAAGCACACCATGCCTTCCCAGGGTGCTCGCAGAGGTGGGAGGTGTCCCCCCTCCCCACACACCTCGGACAAGCTGTGGCTCTGTCCCCTGCCCCAGCCCCACTCCCTCCCTTGCTACAGGGGCCTTGATCTGCCCCACCGTGCCCGTTCCCTCCCCTCTCTGCTTTCACCATAACAGACTTACCAGGTGCACACAGCTCTCCATGCTGCTGGGCTGTGCTCCTCATTGCCTACATGTTGCACTGCGGCTGCGCGCGTGCACAGGCATTTATCAGCCAAATTATTGGTCACATCAGCCAATTTCTGATAAAATCAGTTTTCTTTATATCAGTGTCAATCCAATATCAGACCAATGTATTGATTTTTCTATTTCTATAAACAAGTCTTCTATATGCCATTGGAGATGTCGTAATCTCCCTTTTCTAGAGGTGCAAAGCTCTTATTTCTAGCTGTACTTGTTCTATATAGTAGGAACATCATCAGTCTTAAAGCTGTCTTGGTGTAGAACGAAACTAAACTAAACTTTTATTGGAAAAAAAGAAAGCATTTTTGTGGCCTATCTTTGGGATAAAAATACCACCAATTTTCAATTTACACAAAAGTTTGATGTGTTTAGAATTAGTGCTGGCAGCTGGATTGATGAGTAGACTACAAATAAAGCAGTCAAAGATGAATAGTTAATTCATTTACCACACCGAGCAATCTGGATTGCTTGATAAACTGGGCATAGGCCAATAAATACATATTTCAATATAGCCAAATTTAAAGTCATGTATCCAGGGTCAAAGAATGCAGGCTGCACTTATAGCATGGAGGATTCTATTCCGGAAAGCAGTAACTAAGAAAATTACTTGAGGGCTGGGGTAGATAATCTGGTCCACATGAGCACCCTCTTTAATTCTGTATCTGAAAGGGTTGATGTGATCCTTGAAGGTATTAAAAAGGAGAAAAAACAGTAGAATACTAGGTTCAGTTCCTGTGTCTGTGCTTCAGAAGGGTGTTGAAAAATTGGAGAGCGTTCAGAAAAGAGTAATGAGAATAAGTAAGGGATCGGAAAATGTGTCCTAAATCAAGATTTTAGTTTATTTAGTTTATCAAAGAGCAGATTAAGAAAAAGACTACTTAATTATCTATATGTGAAACAAAGTTGATAACAAAAGGCTCTTCAATCTAGCAGGCAAATGGAGAAATGGTGTCAGGCAATTGCACAAATCATAAGGGTAAATAACCCCTTGGACTACTAGTTAAAGGACAGCAGTAGATTCTTCAATTTTATAACCCAGACTGAATGTTTTCTTTTAATTCAGAGAAATGCTGTGGAGAGGTCAGACTAGATGAAAGCAATAGTTGCTTCTGGCCTTAAAATTGATGCTGTAAGTGTAAAGTGTAATATAGATACAGGAGCAAGCAGACAGCATGAGGCTAGTAATCACAAATTTAATTTTTTAGTCTTGTAGTTAGAATTTAACCATGCCAATAATTAATTATTCCAAAATTTACAGCTCGGACCGTATTAATTCATAAAATGTTATAAACAATATTTTAAAGAATAATATTCCTTGCAGAATCATTTCAAATTGGAATTATCCTTTCTAAAACATAAGACATAAACAACAGACATGTATTATGTATTAATCTGTATTAATTTCTATATGTGGATATTTTGTCTGTGTAAATAATTACAAACACACATTTTTATAATTTTGTTGGGTTTTTTTTAGGATGATCCTCATACTAATTTATTGATTGAAGCCATTAAAAAAGACAATTTAAGAGAAATGGAGCATGAAAGGTAACATTGGAATTGTATGGATCTTTCCATTGTAAATCAGTGTCACTAATTTCCAAGGTGCCCAGGCTCAGAGTTGCTCCCTGTTCTAAGGGGATGGCCTTGCAATGTACCATACAGCCTTTAGTTTTGTCTGTTGGACTTGTGAAAGTGTTCCAAGATATGCTGGGAGGTGTCCCAGCACAGCTGATCTGCTTCACTGGGTGAAATGCATCTCCTATCGTCCTGCCTGTTGGTGCTGTTGGACAATAGGCAACATTCTCCCATGGGTTGATGGGCCTGGTCCTGCACACCCTGGGAATTCCTGCACAAGGTCAGGCCCCTCAAGCACTGGGAGTGCCTGCCTGGTTTTCCCCACTTACAAGACGTGCCCCTGGGCTTTCTAGGGCACTTCTAGGTAAGTGAGGAAAGTTGAGGTTTCCCCACCTACCAAGGCATGCCCTGAAGATCCTGGGAAAGTATCATGGTCTTGGGCACAGCAGATCTGATTCATCTATTTCCACCCTGAGAGTCAAGTGACTGAAGAAGGTTGGAATAAGTTTTTGATATTTCCACATCTATTTTATATGTTCTTTGTCCGTTTGTATATTTTAATCTTAAAGGAAAACCATGGCTGAGAAATACATAATGACAGCTGCTAAATTGATTGCACCAGCAATTGAAACGTCCTTTGCTGTAGGCTATGACTGGTAAGAAATTTTTTTTTGTTATTCTAGATATTTGTGTGCTAAACTCTGTAATTATAAAAAACAAATTCACAAACAGAAGCATACAGTTTAGATTGCATTTTTCAAACAGAACACCCAAACATTTTTTACTCTGGCTTCATGGCAATGCCATGGGAAGTAAACAGCTGAAATATATCATGAGTTATCCATCCACAACAGAAGAGTTTCATTGTATTACAAACTGTAGAATCATAAAGAAATGTAAATGTTAGTCACATTGGCATGCAGTATCTTCATAGGCACTAATTATCTCAGAGAATCATGGCTTCTAATTAACTGTGGGAATCAGTTATACACCCTTTATTTTGCAGACCTGATGTGGTGTCATTTATAGAACTTCTATGCGTAGACCATGTCACATGTTTACACAACAGCTATAAAGGCTGATGGGGTAAGAAAGTAGTATCATAGATGTATATGTATGAAGTATAGATATGAACCCCTGGTGTACTATGGTTCTCTGGTGCACTTTTTATGGTTTTTCTTGTAAGGAAAAAAGAAGCTCCCTGTAAGGACAATAATAATAAGAAAGGTACCTTCTCAAAACATGGTCTCTCTGTTTCTTAAGTTTCTTGGATTGTTTATCCTTTGCTTTTGGAAGAGTTTGCTGTTTGCATTTTTTTAAATCTCTAATATTATTGACAGATAACACACACTCAGACCATGGACATGTGCTTACAGCCTCAACTCCACCTCACAGTTATTTTTTACGGAATGTCCTTACTAAATTAAACCGTTGTTACACAGACGTGAAGGAAACTTGCAGGGGGAGAAGAGCTTCACTTACCTACTCCCATGCCTATTAACACAAAAAGAAGTTAAACTAAATATTATGTATTAATATTTTCAAGTCTTCCAGATCCTACAGCCATGTTTTGTTAATACACCTGTCTATAAACGGAAATAACCACTTACAGTGAAAAACTGTTTAGTTCACTAAAGCCCACAAGGTGGTGTTTGATGATTAAATATTAGCCATAACCATATTATTTCCTTCTGTTGCTGTTCAGACTTACTGAACCTAAACAGCAGTGTTTGGCAAGAAAGAGTTTCTTGTTACGTAACTTGTTAACAAATAAAATCTGGTGTCTTTATATCTTCTTGCATGATTGTGATTAAAGTTACAAAAAAAAGGTTGATGTATAAAATGTATTAATGTATTTTATACATTAAGCTATTTTTTTGTAACTTTCAATTTTTACTCAATTATCCCTTGTCCTATCCCATAAATGCTAAACACTTGCTAAGCATGCATATACTGGGCAGGGGGTAATATTCCTCACATCCTAAAAAGTTTTTGATATAACTACAGATATTAATTACCTTGTAATATAGTATTAGAAAATTAATGATTATGATTTATGATTAGATACTACTGGTGATTCTTGCCAAATTGATAAGAAACTGTAAAGCTAGCTTAACCGACCACTCAAACTTGGTTTTCAACTGCTTTGTGTTGATTCATGCTATATTATAGTTAAAGATGTACTGTATTTACTCAAATCTAAGACTGTTCTGAATTTAAGATGACCCCCCCCATCATTAGATTCCATGTATGGAAAACATATACATTTGTTATAATTTTTCAGGCATAAAATCTAATTATTGAAGGGTTGTCTTGAATTTGTCCTCTTCACTGCTATAGCAGGGAACGTAGTGGCTGGTGGGGGGTCAGGTAGCCCCCTTGCTCTCTGCCCCTCCACTTTTCCCTGTAGTCTTCCTGCCCCCCCTCCACTGGCATCCCACCACCCCAGTTCCCCACAGCCTTTGCCTCTCTCCCCCACTCCCCACAATCTCTGCCTCTTCTCCCCGCACTTCCCTCCCTCCATACTGTCAGACCCTGCTTGGGCTCTGAACTGCACATAACAATAAGGGGGGAAAGGAGCAGGGGGTAGGGGGGGCAGAAGCTGCAGAGGGTAAGGGAGTGGTGGAGCAGGAGTCTGATATGGGTCTGACTTTGGCCCTGACCCAGCAGTAGGTGCTTGCCCCCCATCCCTAGGCATACACATTATGCAAGAAGCCTAGCTAATTTGAAACACAAGGAACCAAAAACACTGACTTTGAAATAAACATACCCATATGAATTTGTATATATGCAAATTGTATATAAGCTCTGGAGTTTATTGCTGCCCATTAATGGCACATATAGACGTGCCCACTTTGCATGATATTAGACCTGAGCCAACAGGCTTATGATTTATCATATAGTTCATTGAGCTGGGCTCCAGCAGTCAAGAGTGTTTCTGGCCATGGTGACCCCAGAGCCCAAAACTGCTCTCAGTATGTGTGTGTATTCCATATACCCCTCCCCACAAAGGATCCACATGCTAATTAGTCCTCTACTCACACCTGGAACCAGGTGTTCTTGTCACAAGTCCTGGGACCAAAAATGTATATGCAGATGAGGTGCACAGCTGCTTCATCCAGCTCCACACCAGGGAGGGCAGGGCCACACTGGTCACATACAACAGCCTGAGAGAGGGGGTGACAGAGCCTCTTAGATGTTTGGTGATTTTTGCCAGATATTTAAGGCTCGTGATGAAATGAGAATAATTGGAAACAGGAAGAAAAATGCTGCTCAGCTGTGGCAGTGAAGAGGAAGTAAAAATGTATTTAATATAATCTTTCACTATGACTTGAAAAAGAATTGGTGCTGAGGGGTACTGAGCACAACAAGCGCTATATCTTATTCGGGTAGATTGCACTAACCTAGCTTTGTGGTAGGTTCCTACTGATATTTTTGCCTAATATGGGCCCTGTGTTTTAGGGACATGCTCAGTGTGCACTGCATTCAGTCAACTTCACAGTTTTGTGTTCCATAACTGAGCACATGCTGCTTCTGGCACCAATTTAATGATAGGCAGTGTATTTAATGGGGTTTTCCTGTAGGCAAATGTAAGACCAAGGGGCTTTTTTTCCCTGTGCTGATTGGGGCGGGAGAGGAACCTACTTACATTCAAGTAAATTTGGTACATTTCATCAAATTCCTTGCCTTTAGAGAAATTGAATAGGGGCAAATATTCTTTAGATTGTAAACTTGATATTGAGATATCTTAAAATGCAATATACTCATTAGATTATAATTTGATGATCCTCTATGAGGAACTTTCAGATCCGTCTCCATCCTCTGGTTAAAAAGTGTTAACATTGGCTATCTAGAATAATTGACCGATTCTCTCATTGCAGATACTTTTGTAGCAATTGCAATGGGTTTTGTTTTCAGTACAATTTCTTTCCAATGATTCCAAGAGTTATCCACAGTCTTTGTGAGAAGTGATTCATGTGCCAGACAAATTATAGCATCTGCCAGGAGTGATGGTGACAAGTTGTTTAACAGTGTTAGCCAAACATATAGTGATAGCAAATCGTGTACTTTCAGCTTGTAAGGAAAATGGGAAAGATTCCAAAGGCCATACAGAGGTGTTCCTTCCATCAGTTTAATTCCAGACAATCTAGAATAATGTACTGTTTATACAATAAATGAAGGCTCCAGCCCAATTTCATAGATTTCATAGACATTAGAGCTGGAATGGACCTCGGAAGATCATCGAGTCCAGCCCCCCGCCCAAA